GTGGGAGCTGAACAGATTGTTGCCGGGGCAGAGAGAGGGCACAAGCAAATGGAGCAAGCTTGCAACCAAACTGTTACAGGAGAGTGGGATGGAAGTGTACGAACCTTGTCCGGTGCTATTCAAGGGCACAGGTGAGCTGAAGTCAGTGAGAGTTCAGATGCATGTGGACGATCTGCTCATGTGTGGGTTGGCGGAGGAGGTGAATTTACTCTTGGAGCGGTTAGGAGCCCAGGTGGAAATCAAAGTGCAAGGACCATTCATGGATACTGGAGATGAATTTTCGTATCTGCGGAAGAAGTTTTCATTTTCAGAAGATGGTTTGATGGTGAGAGCAGACCCAAGACATTTCCGTGATTTGGCTGAGCAAGCAGCAGTTCTTGGAAGTGTGCGAGAAAGGAAGACACCAGCGCAGGGAGACATCCTTGAGAGGGACAATTCGGAGGAAGTTTCAGGGGAAAAGCAGAAGGCGTACAGAAGCATTGTGGGAAAGCTTTTGTATATTTACCCTGAGGTACCGTTTTGTCAGTGGGTCATCAATAGATTGGCGCAGAAGATGTCGAAGCCGACTGTCAAGATGGTAAAGGCAGCGCTGCATTTTGTGGGATTTCTGACAACTGTACAGGATGTGGGTTTACTTCTACCTTACAAGCCGTGTTCAAGTTCAGTTTTGGCAAATGGTGGAGAACCTGCTGAAGGTGCAAGCATGCAGATTGTCACAGATGCGGATTGGGCGAGCGACAAGGAGAACAGACAGTCAATGAGTTCAGTCATGATTTTCTGCGGGAGAGGTTTGATGTATGCTTATGTGAGGCAGCAAAGAGCTATAGCACTTTCGTCATGTGAGAGTGAGTATTATGCTATGACGTCAGGCTTGTCTGAAGGACTGCTACTTCATGATCTGATGCAGTATCTTTTGGACATGAAGCTGAAGCTGGAAGTGAGGACAGATAGTTCTTCGGCAAGACAGGTGGGCGAGCTTGGAGTTTCGAAGGCCAGACACTTGTCAACACGTGCACTATGGCTTCAGAAAGCAGTAGCTGACAAGAAGTGCGTTTTAAGGCCAGTGCCTACAGAGTTGAACCCAGCAGGTCTGAACACAAAGTTGCTGAGTCAAGCCAGGATGAAGGGTTTGGCATGCCTGACTGGTATTAGGCAAGGAAATGAGATTCCATATGGCGCAGATGAGCTAGAGGAGATCGGAATATTCTTCAGAGGCGAAGAGCGATGAAAGATGTGTTCAGAGTGATTGTGCAGAGTGAATCAAGTGTGAGAAGACTTGAGAGAGAGCATGCAACAGTGATTGGATGCAATATGAAGGAGAAGCTGATGTGCGCGTTATTATTGGAGCTGTCAGGAAAAGCAATGGCAGGAAGCTTGGAACATGGAGACAGCGTGATTGTGTATGTACATTTGCAATATGTATTGAATGTGATTTGCAGTATTTGGACACTATATGCCGTGTGTGGATTTCTGATATGTATTGGATTTCTTAAATGGATGGAACACCGTGAGAGAAAGGTGTATGAGAGGTGTATGGAAGGGTGTCGAAGTATTGCAGATGGAGAAGATTTTCAGAACAGACTGGAGAGATTACATTACAGTGTGGAAGATATAATTTCACAGATGCAAGCTTTGCGAGAGGACGACCGCGAAACTCGACAGATGAGTTGGATATGGCATGAACTGGATGTTGTGAAAGGACAAATTCAGGAGTGGATTGGACGATTCGTGATCATTGAGAGAGCGGTGGAGCGACAGCAGAGCAAGGAGATCAGCAATGCTGAGTTTGCAAGACGAGATCCTGAAGCAATGAGCCGGAGCAGCAGCTATTTGGACAACACAACGTGGGCAGATCAGTTGAGGGAAGAAGGTTCAGGAAGTGAGTGCAGTTGATATTCATTCCTATGTACATGGCAGATGGATGGATTTGCATTGGGAGATGAGTTTCAGAATTTTCCCATATTGGCTTGATGAAAGGGCCAGGGATTTTTCACAATTACATAGCGTCTTGAACTGTATAGACTGAAAGGCGAGCATGTTTTCCCCAAAAGCCACTTTGAAGATTGCCACATGGCAAAGCCACATGGCAAAGGCGGGGTGATAAAGGTTTACGTTTGGAGCACCCACTCAAACTCGTGTGTGTGCATGATGTGAAACATCAGGATGAACCTTTTGTAAGTGTGCAGTTGGAACGCTTGGCAACAGACCATGTGTTACCGATGAGGCGCTTTTCGGTTCGCAAGGAAAAGTTAGGAGCAGAGCAACTTGCGCAGACTTGCCCAGAGCAACTTGCGCGGAATGGTCACGGGGCTGTGTGTGTGCGTTTGAGCGTGGGTGTGCGTGTGCGTGTGCGTGCGCGTGTGCGTGTGTGTGCGCATGTGCGTGCGCGTGCGTGCGGGTGTCTGTGTGTGAACTCATCCGATTTCGGAAACTTGTATGTTGGTAGGCAGCCCTGCAGAATTCTGCACACAGAGCTTGCTCACAACACGCGAAGTGCCCTGCGGGAACTCTGTGAATTCCAGCTTGGACGTGCAACGGATTGTGGGTTCACTTTCCAGCCCGCCGAGGCTCTGCCAAAAGGTTCGTGCCGCAGAACAGTCCAGTAGCCACAGTTCACGAGTTCTGGGCCAGCTCTTTTGGGAGCGGTCAAGGACGACCTGATCGAGCAGCTGGCGGCCTCCGTACTCGCTTCGACTCAAAGCTCACCCCGTGCGCACAGGTTACCATGTGTTTAACAAAGTTTCAGCTCATTTCAGTGAATTTGCATTTAGTCATGTCTTTGACTAAGCATGTACTGTAATCAGCTAACTAAAGTCAGCAGATGCATTTTGACAGAGTTTTAGATTGTTTGGAGCTCGTACGTGCCCGTACGGCGATTCTTGAAATTCAGCAGCAGTGCTGTCAGAAAGTTTCGTTCGTCAGGTTACCCCAGACATCAAATTAAATTTATGTATTATAGCAAAATTGTGCAAAGCAAGAGTACTTGGCGAGATCTACACCTCGAGATCTGCGCTTGCAAATTTTCGGCGAAATTTTGGCGGTGCAGCAGGAGTTTGGAAGCAAACTTTTGGCGGCGTGCTCTGCAGGAGGGGCGCGGGAGCGCTCGCAAATTTTCGGCGGCGTGCCTTGCACGGTGCAGCAGGAGCCGCGGAAGCTTGCAAATTTTAGCACAACGCGGCGGAGCGACTGCCCGTTTCGTTTTGTTTTCCCATAAGCCAAGGCCCTTGCTGCGCTGCTTTGCGACTTCTTCCTGTCTGGCGTTCCGTGCTTGCAATTGCAGACGTTCAGCCGGGCAATCGCTCCATGAGTCCTGTGGCACCACTAGCTCGAAGTACCCCAGAAGTTCGAATGGCGCAGCACCCTCTGGAAGCTGCCGCAGCGCGTCGTCAAATCTCCACGTTTGCTCGCTTTTGCACTAGACGTAGAACAACCTCCGTCCTTTCAGGGTGTCAATGACAGGTGATGGCACAGCATTACTCCTTTTGGTTTTGATTCAGATCACTCGTTGAAACATTTCGCATCCACTGATAGCAGCTTGTTGCTTCCGTTGTTTTTGTGTCGTGCCTTGTGTTGCGTGTGCATAGTTTGTTTGGCTTGTTTCGCCCTCAGCCATCTTTTCTGGGGAAGTGGCAGTTGTTTTCCTTTTAGCATGATTTTTAGCGGACCGGCGTCAGCTCCATTGGCTGCGAGGGTCAACGCAACAGCAGCTCTGCGACATGCTGGCAAAAGTCACTGTAAGCGAACCAGACCGTTCCCTTTGTCAATTTGAAAGGTCACGGAGCAAAAGGCCAGTTCAACGGAAGTGCTGCCAGCAAACCCAGCTCCACAGCATAGGAAGCTGTTTGCAATACACACGCTCGCGAGAGCTGGCTTTCTGCCAGAGCCGGCGATTGAATGCTGATTGCGAACACCTGGCGGTTCTACGCCAAGCGAGCGTGGGTTGTCCAGAAGGGCGGTCAACAAGCGAAGGCAGAAGGATTACGGCGTGGAGGACACCCTCGCTCGCACTGCAGGCGCGCAGCTGAAGACTGAGGTCGTGACGCCGCGGACGCCGCCCTGGCTGTGCAAGTTTCAAAGCTTTTTGACTTGATCTGTGAGGCGATGGAAGCTGAAACAATTGCTACCGTGTTGCGGTTCGTTGCACCGTGCGGCAAGCATGTTGTTGTTTCAGTGCAACTTGGTCAAGGCATGTTGCAAGGCATATTGCAAAGTGTCGGGAAAGCGGGTCAGGGCCAATGTGATGAATAGGAGACTGTGAGCCTCAACTTAGTTCCAACGGCACCGGCGACGAAGTAGTCGCCAAAGATTTGGCCGGAACTGAGTTGGGAGTGTAAGGAGTGCAAAGGTTTTCACGACACGATATGGCTTCAATCCACTCGTCGGTGTCACATGAGCCACCTTTGCCCGGTTTGAGTGAGTGCATCCATGAACCGGTAGCAATTTTCATTAGCAAGTTGCTTTGCTAGAGGGTTGCGTTGGCGAGCGGGCGCTAGCAAGCAGCGCTGGCAAACAGTAGTAACTAGTAGCAGGATAGCACTAGGCGGCAAGCGGCTCTGTCGAGCGGTGCTGGCAAGTTGCATGTTTTAGTATCGCTAGCAAGTAGCGCCAGCAAGTTGCATCAGCAAGATTGGGTTAATCAGTTGCAGGACAGTGCCACTGTGCACGGTTAGGGCGGATGGACCAAGATGGGTCACGCTTAGTCGCGCAAAACCACCAGAAAAATAGCGCCAGCTGCTGCCGGCGTTATGCTAATGCCTTTCGGGCCACCCATTTTGCAGTTACTAGTTATGTTTTTGCAACATGGGTCATGATCTTCCAAACAAATCCTTTGCAAGTCATTGTTTCAGTTCAAAGGAATGACGTTTGAAAACCAAACATCACACACATGCGGTGAGTGCAATAGCACAAAGTGCGGCTGAAGCTGTTTTTGCTGTCCAGACATGATGGTTTTCACGTTGCTCTTGACACTGAAGATGCCCAAGCGGGACATTGCGGTTTGCAGCTCAAAGCAGAATTTTATTAGTGAGGGTCTGGTGGTAGCCTCAGTGTTCCAGCCAGACTTGACTTGTCAGCTCTTCAGTAGACGACGTGTTTTGTATTTGCTCGACACGCTGTTGGGAGAGCACTCGAGGCTCGCAAGCGGCGATGCATGTGTCGGCAGTTCCGGGGGGATTCCCCCAATCCCGCGTGCGGAGCTTGCCTTCTGGATGTCTTGCGCATATGCGTGTCATGTGATGAAATGTCTGCCTTTTGATGCATCAGCACCACCTTGTGTGTTGGACGCGTTGGGCTCGGGCAACCAGACAACCCTTAGACAACATGGATGGTGCGACGCTGGGCAGCGTTAGAGTTGCATTCCAGCTTTGCTCTTGAAAAATGGCAGCACAGCATGGATGCGCAACGTGCTTTGATGTCAGGCCATGGATTCGCACTGGCCCGTGCTTGCAACGCAGGCCTGATACAAATGTCGGTTGTTGCACATCATGTTGCTGTCGAAAAGGTTGCCTCGCAGCCCGTCCAGATAAAGTGCCCGGCTCAGTCACAAGAATGTCAAGAGCCAAGCAAAGGCAACGAAAGCGAGCAAATGCTGTTCAGTGCCAGGCGTGAACGCAATTTTAAAGGCGATGCTTTCAGGCTGGAGTTGCCCAAAACTGACACATGTGATCGATTGGTACTGCAGGCTGGGCTTCTCCGCTTAGCTTGCCAACACGGCAGGCGCGGCAGATGTACATGAAGTCTGGTTGAAAGCTTCAATAATCTATTGTCAATTTGGCAGTGATATGGGGTATACTCCAGCATAGCTGAAAAACCCAAGTTTCTAGAAAGGACATGTGCCTAAAGGAAGAGAAAGAAAGCATCCCCTGCCCCATGCGCGCGCACCTATTTGGTCGAGTTGGCTGCCGCAGTCGAGTTGGCAGGTGGAGCGTCCTTTGCTTTTTCTCTTTCTTTTTTCTTTCTTTCTTTCTTTCTTTCTTTCTTTCTTTCTGTATTTCTTTCTTTCTTTCTTTCTTTCTTTCTTTCTTTCTTTCTTTCTTTCTTTCTTTCTGTCTTTCTCTCTTTCTTTCTTTCTTTCTTTCTTTCTTTCTTTCTTTCTTTCTTTCTTTCTTTCTTTCTTTCTTTCTTTCTTTCTTTCTTTCTTTCTCTCTTTGTTTCCTTCTTTCTTTTCGTTCCTTGACTTTCTTTCTTTCTTTCTTTCTCTCTTTGTTTCCTTCTTTCTTTTCGTTCCTTGACTTCCTTTCTCTCTTTCCTTTCTCTCTTTCCTTTCTCTCTTTCCTTTCTTTTCTTCCTTCTTTTCTTGCTTTCTCTCTCTGTCTCTATCTTTTTTTTCTTTCTCTCTCTCTCTCTTTCTCCATCTATCTATCTATTTGTCTATCTATCTGTCTATCTATCCACCTATCTACCACCTGACATAGCGAAAGTGCTGCCCCTCAGGTTCCTGCCACGCGCATTACACCTCCGAAACAGTCTGCGCGGCTGCGCCATTGGAGAACTTTCCGGGACCGTGGCGACCCCGTGGCGAGACCGTGGCGAGACCGTGGCGAGACCGTGGCGAGACCGTGGCGAGACCGCGGCGACCCCGTGCGCAAAACAGGGATACCCTTCGCGTGTTTAACGGAAGTTTTCTTTCCAAACTTCCTTTGATTAGACAACTTGCTAGATTGCCCACACAATCAGAGGACTCACTAGTTTTTGCACATCCTGTAAGAGATCCACCTTGACTGTGGCCCGTGTGCACTGTTGCAGGAGGTTTGCATTGAGTGATTTGCAGGCCCCGCAAGTGGAACGAGATTTGCCCACGAGGGAGGGACATTCTCAGTCTGCAGGCCAGTTCAAAGTGAGATGCATTGTGGCTCGTGCTGTGAGCACGCAGGTTGCAATCGAACTGCGGCAGCCTCGACTGCCTCAGTGCTTGCTTTCTCTGTCCATTACGTCTGTGCCCCAGTGTGACAGCATGGGCTAGTGTGTTTGCTTGCTTGCTTGCTTGCTTGCTTGCTTGCTTGCCTGCCTGCTTGCTTGCTTGCTTGCTTGCTTGCTTGCTTGCTTGCTTGCTTGCTTGCTTGCTTGCTTATTTGCTTTTTGTGTGTGCTTGAATCCTAGTTTGTGTTCATCACAGCTTCGCAAGGGCACTCGACGGAAGCGGCCCCAGCCACACCGGCCTTCATTTTGCTAGTGGGTAGCTTCTCTACGAGTAATGTGCCAGGTCTCGTGTGGCGAGGAAGGCTGCAGATGATGCGGAACCCCATGGTCCAGCACTTTGTCACGGGCACAAGTGGTGACAGATTTGGGACCCGTTCATGGATTCTAAGGATCCGCTGCCGTGATAGGTTCCTCTGGTTCTGAAAGTGCGATTCCCAGCTTTGCCCAATGCCTCGTTGTACTTTGCTGCGGCCTTTAAGGCGTCTTTGAACGACTGTGGCAGAGTCAGAGGCTGCGCCATGATTCACGTTTTCTTTGCCACTTCCGTTCTGCTTTCGCAGGACGAACGTGTCGGTCAGGGACTCAACGGACACATTGTGGTGACTCTGTCAAGTCATCAACGTTAGGTCCTGCTGATTGGCTTGGTTGGTGCCATGCTCTTCGGCACTTTCGTGACGCTGACACAAGGAGCAGTGGCAGGGGCTGAATGGCGGCCCTGCGCCTGCTTTACAACATGCTGGGAAACTCGTAAAACAGGAGCCTTCGGGCATTGCCCGTAACGCCATGCCAGGTTTGCCTGCTATGTCATCGAATACTCTCTCTCTGTTGACAACCTCTTTGTCTTCATAGCCCTTTGCCTCAGCCTGTCTGGGTTTGTTTGGCATGTTTTGCTCATGCACACACACATACACATGCGCAAACAGGAGGTACGGTTGGCGCAGTGAATTCCAAGGTCATCTTTGACTACTTCAAGGTCACGGGCGAGCTCCAGATTGGGCCCCAGCTGAATTCTCCAAGTTCGTGCTTGTGATGTGCCTATCAAGCCAAACGTTTTGGGGCCTATTTGAAGTAAGTGGGTGTTTGAGAACAGGCATATTTATCCAGATCAAAATGGCAAAAGCGCACGAGTACATGAGCATCGTCAAGGTCGCAGGTGCTGAACTATGGCATTGCTGGGGCGGTGTTGCTGCTGAGTCCTAAGAAGCGTTTTTGTTTCAGCCCCTTGTCCTTTGCTGGTCTGAGGCGGTTCCTCTTTGTTTACTTGGGGGCGCAGCTGCTACAGCGCTTTGACTTCCTCATCTTGGGCTTTGCCGCCATACTGGTAACTTGGACTGAACGCATTGTGTCTTTCTTTTCATAGCGAGCAGTGCTGATGACATGCACCCTTGTGCAGGTATATGCCTCATACCAGGCAGGAAGGGCGCATAGTCTTGTTAGAGGGCAGCAAGTCTTTTGCAGTGTGAGGCCCTGTCTGGTAGTGATGACGATCAAGATGATTCCATCGAAGACAGTGCCATCTTCAAGCGCCTTGTCTGGTATTCCTTGTTAAAGCAACGGGAGTTCCGTGTGGAGAAGTTAGTGCGATCCATCCATGACGCACACGTTCACCCCGCTCAGGACCTTGAGCAGCGTTGTCGAGATTTCACCTCGGCTAGATGGTGACAAGTTCTTCACCCAGGTGCGGGATTCATAGAGAGATCAATGTCTGCATGTCTTCCTGAGGTACAGGGCAAGACATTGGCAACTCCTCTGTTCCTTTGCTTGCTGGTCATTGAGCTGGCACCTCGGTGTCCACCTCCAACATTTGTGCGATGCCTGGTCGCAAGGTTTAGCGACATCGTCTTTGCGACAGACTCAGTACCTGCTGTGCTTGGGACTACGCAGGACACTGAATCGCTTTTGCGGCATGCTGGTGCCATGCAAACGGCTGGGTACTTTTTGTTCTTCACTCTTTTGCACCGGACGATATCTTTCTTGGGGCGGGTGCTGAAGCGTTGATAATCCATTCTTTTGAAAATTTTGGTGTTTGCTAGGTTATCTTTCACTGAAGCCATTCTTACTCTTGCCGCTTATGCTTTAAGAAGGAAAGAAGGAAAGAAAGAAAGATAGAAAGATAGAAAGATAGAAAGATAGAAAGAAAGAAAGAAAGAAAGATAGAAAGATAGAAAGATAGAAAGAAAGAAAGAAAGAAAGAAAGAAAGGAAGAAAGAAAGAAATAAAGAAAGAAAGAGAAATAAAGACAGAGAAAGAAAGAAAGATACAGAAAGAAAGAAATAAATAAATAAAGAAAGAAAGAAAGAAAGAAAGAAGGAAAGAAAGAAAGACATAAATCAAGAAATAAATCAAGAAATAATATCAATAAATAAATAAATAGATAACTAAATAAAGACAGAAAGAAAAGACAATAAAGAAATAATATAAATAAATAAAGATCAAACAGAAGAGAGACAGAGAAAAGAGAGACATAAAGACAGAAGGAAGAGAGACAGACAAAAAGAACGACATAAAGAACTAAAGAACTAAAGAAATCAAGAAGGAATGAATGAAAGGAAGGAATAAAGAACGATAGAAAACATAACGAAATAAATAAACAAAGAAAGAAATAAAATGAACAGTAAGTACATAAAGACATAATGAAATAAATAAAGACAGAAAGCAAACAATAAAGAACGGAAGACAGAAAGAAGGACATAAAAGAAAGCCATACATAGAGCCAGAAAGAAGGACAGAAAGCTAGCCACTGGTTTGTATTTTTTGAGGTGCATACAAGTACATCAGGCATTTGTCAGGTTCACCCTGTTGCGACGGCAGTTGTTCGCGCTTCTACATTGTTTGGTATGGATGCATGCCATGCTGCACAGCGGCGATGGAAGGACCCCTTCATTGCCTACAGCTCGTGACCTGCCCGAAGTAAGTCAGTTTCAACTCAAGTCCATCGTTTTGAAGCCAGGCGTGATCATGTGATCCAAGGAATATCTTTGCCGTCTTCGGCCTTCGCTCCTTATTTTTCATCTTGAGAGAGGCAATGACCAGGCAACGCGCGGAGTTGCCTTTGCCGCTTGTTCCAAGATCAATGCTTGTACCACGCATGCTGCAGGTTCCAATACTTGGAGCCTGCAGTGGCCTTCGTGCTTGGCTTCATTGGGGTGAAGATTGTCAGATCCTTGGGGAGGACTAGCCTGAGATTGGCGTGTGGCAGGTGTATCTGAAATGGCTGAGGTGATCGACTATTTCAACATTGTAGAGGCTCCCGCATTCAAACTTGCGCTGAGAAGCACATCCCGTGCGGCCAGATCCCAGTGATGGTGTCTTTGGCTATCGTCGAGAGCCCAGTAGATGGCTGAACTTGCCATCGGACGGACCAGACTCAGGTTCTATCCATCTTGACGGCTGGGGTGGTCTTGAGCTTGAGGGTGAGCCTTCCGCCTGCTTTGTCAGAGCTGTTTGCCGTTTTGAACGCACATCTTGCAGAACCACTAATACAGGAGTTTGGGCCAACGGAGGAGGACATTAGTGACGGCTGCTTGCCAGCAGCTAGCATAGAATCTTCAGTTCAGATCCAGCAACTTTGGGCTGAGGCAACTAATTCCAAGAGAGCCTTGGAATTCCGCTGCTGAGTGATCGGTAGTGAGCTTTTCAGGGATACAGCACGAACTTGTGAGGGGACATCACCCTGATCCTAAACTTGAGCCGTGAGGAAGCAAGTTGCGAGTGGTTCTGGTAGACAAACTGGTTTGTGCCTATGACAACAGCTGAGCCATACTCAGCTTCTCTTTCTCTTGGTATCAGAACACATGCATAATGAAAATCAGGCGCCTCCTCGGCTGCAAAGCAGCTTTGCTCATGCCCAGTGGCTCCTGAGTGACCAGTGAACAGATGTCTGCCACGGGTGGCATGCAATTCTTCAAATTTAGTGAATTGTGTATTTGAAACCCACATCCTGCTCTTGGAACAAAAAGTGCTCAGCGCATTGGCATTTGGCCGCCTTGCCTGCTCAATTTCGGGGCTTTCACACCAGACTTCTTCCGAGGTTGGCCAGCCAATGATGCCTCAGCAGATGCAACACATGGCACAAGGCGCAAAAGCATCCGATTTCAGATGGCCCTCGGGTCTTTCAACGGTTGCGCCCCATGCAGGCCCCTACGGTGGCATGCCAGGCATGCCAGGCATGCCGCCCGCGTGCAAGACCCAGCCACTGCACTCACTCATTGAGCTTTGAGTGCCTGTTTTGGCAAGCTTCAAGGTGATCGTCCAATGAGGCATCAGCGTTTGACTTGTACGGTTTTGGGCAAAGAAGAGCTTGCTTGGAGGAGCTCATTAAACCTCTTCTTTTGTGGGCCAATGACTTTATTCTGCAATGACATTCGGACGTTCACGCTGCACTGGAGTGCGACCTTACACTTCAGTATGTGGCAAGTAAGACGAAGTCCTGCTTGTTTTTCTTAAGCAAGCTTGAGATCCAACGTCACAGCTTGAAGCTACTTTACATTTGATGATCAGTCGGCAAGGAGGTCTTTGCAGGGCTTGATGTTTCAAACGCGCATCCAACCATCTTCAGTGGACAACGCGATCCATTGTGTACGAACCATGCTAGAGACTCAGACCCTGTAAACATTAGTTTGACAACACATTCATTTTGGAGAACAAAGTTGTTTGCATAGTCATAGCCATGTCTAGCACAGCTTTGAGGTGATCTGGGCAGGCAAAGATTTGGAGGGCAAGACTGGCAAGAGACATGCGTTTTAGTCTCGATACAATTTGGCATTGCATCAAGATGCAATATCGAAGAAACTTGGACTCACCCAAGCATTGAAGAAATCACAACGGAGCGAGGAGAGGCAGCAGCGAGGAGAGACTCGGAATGGTTTTGGCTTATTCATGGACCTGGCACAGAATTACTGCATCACGTTTACATTAAGGAGACTGTTGCATGTGCAAAACGGACAGTCTAATGCACCGCTCCACGTATCATTTGATGTGTGCCTTGCAAAGGCTCAACCCAAACCCAAAGGCAACAAGATGCAGCCTGAGCGATCGATGGAGCGGAGCTTTGGGAGCAGAGACTGTTCCGAGGTACCAGCCGCAGGCGGTCTCGCCCACGCAGCTGGGCCACGCGCGGCCAGGGCAGGGCAGCTTCCAGCTGCAGCAGCGGAGCCCGGCCGGAGCTCCGGTTTCCAAGACGGGGATGTGCGCGTCAAAGTCTGTGCTCACCAGAGGATCATAATGTTTGCAGTTGACAGTGGCCATTTGGCTTGCCAGTTTGACTCATTCCCAGTTTGACTCATTCCGTGGGAAGCTCATCTCCTCTTTCCCAGGATCAATCAGAATCTTTGGGCACGGATGTTGGTTTGTGGCTTTCGCGTGCCTCGCAGGCGTCCAGTCTAGGCCAGCAGCTCAGCGGTCTTGAGGCAATGGTGCCAAACAGACCAAACAGATCCAAGCCAAGGCAACTTTGAAGCGTTGTCTCCCATGTCTGGGCAGAGCTTGCCGGCAAGGCCGAGTCTCTCTTCATGTCCTGGTGCCGCTGGAAACCCTGATTTGATTTGGCAGGCAAGCGCTGGGAGGCGTCCCAGCAACAGCAGGAGCAGCAACAGCAGCGAGCCCCAATCGAGAGCAGGTGGGCCTTGACCTTCGAGCAGCCTTTGGTTTCATGGGTTCACATGCCTTGCCGCTTTCCCCACGTCAGGCACTTCAGAAGCGCGTTGCGGAGCTGGAGGATATCTTGAAAAGCAAAGACCAGGAGATCAAGGTGGGGTCCTCGGTGGATATGGTGGATGTTTTCATGTTGTGCTCTCCTCTAACTTGCAACTTGCCGCACTGCAAGCTGCTTTGGGAGGAGCTGCAGAGTGCGCTGAAGCAGGCGGTTTGGCCTGGGTTCAGCCTGTTCGGCTCTCGCCAAGCTGTCAATGGCAGGCCGGGATCAAGATTCCCGCCAAGAAGGCCCAGGCCACCCGTTTCGGCCGTTTCTTTCGACACAGACATGTTCTCACGCAGGCCAGACCGCGGGACAAGGCAGGATTGCGGATATTGCTATGCTTGTTGAAGCTGGAAGCAAGCTTGATGTTCCTACAGTAGGCTCAAAAGTGTGTTGAAGGCTGCGAAGCCTCTGATTGGTTGCAACAACCTTGTGGAGCTTGGGAGCTGTTCAGGTGATGGGGAGCGGAGGCTTTCGGAAAGTCTCGCAGTCCCAGCCAACCCAACCCTATGAAGCGGTGGACCAGGATATGAGAGGGACATAGGTTGCATGCTCCGTACGAGCTGGAACTGCGCCCTGCAGGAGGATCCAATTGACCTTCGACTGGAGGAGTTCTACAATGGGACTGGTTCAGCGATTCCGTTTCAAAGGCCGGTCAGCGGCGTTGATGCTTGGCGGCTTTTGTAACGGCTTTGTGCACGTGTCATGCAGGATCAATCGCGGGTTTTACCGATTTGGGGAGACCATTCTGGAGCTCAACATCATCAATCATAAGCTGATGGCACGAACGGAGGCGCATGCCGCATGTGCAGCTGAACAGAGTCAGGGGAAGCATCAAAGTGAAAAACAGTTTTTTTGGTTCTACTTCCAAGTTTGATGAAGATACTGATCGGGCGTGGACAAGCACCTCAAAGTGTTTTGAGCACATGTGGGGCAATCGATTCATGCCTCTCAGGATGGTTGGAATCGCAGTAAATTCGGACCCATTGAGAAATTCATCATGTACTACGAAAACATCGAGAGAGAGAAAGTCGTGGCCCCAGTGAGTATTTGAGCATATTTCAAAGAGTTGCCTTGCATGCTTCCTGATGCCCTTCAAAGACTAGGCTCATTCTTTGCAGTGATTGTTTGATGAGTTGTCAGATCATTTCATTGCTGCACTGTTTTGACACACTGTACCAGGCACATTCGTCCTTTGTTTCTGAGTTTCATGGGATTTTGTTTGTGCTTGCTCCGATACTCACTTGGCCGAGCATTGTTCTGAGGCGGGAATCCCACTAGAGTCCTGAGTGAGGCTGCATATTTGCTGTCAGAAACAGACATGTCTGTCGTTAACAGGTGATGGAGTGGTTGCAGCCTTTGCCGTGCAGGTCTTCTCTATCGGCGTCTTCGGACCTGTGATATATTTGACATTACAAGCGCTGGTTTGGCAGGGGTCATTCTGCGCACACAAGCCTCGGCAAGAGTCAAGACTCGGATCTCGGATTTTGGCTGAAGGGCTTTGTGCACAACGTGGCCGGAAGGTTCCACCAGAGAAGCCCGCCTGCCAGTTCTTTTCACAAAGCCACCTCAGCCAGCTCCTAACCTATGCGTTTGCTACAAAACATGAGTGTCAGTCAATGTGAGAGCTGTGCAGTGCTGGCAATTTATTACTTTAGAGCCTCCGGCTCAGTCCGCCGACATTGTCCTCTCCCTTTTCTCCTTCCTCCTCTCTCCCTTGTCTCCCTTGTGTGTTCTGTTGTCCTCTCTCCCTCCCCACCCCCCCCAAGCCTCTCTCTCCCCAATCTCCCTCTCTCGTATGTATGTATGCATGCACATATGTATGTATGCATGTTTGTATGTAATGGAAGTAAGTAAGTAAGTATGTATGTATGCATGTATGTATGTATGTATGTATGTAATGTATGTATGTAATGTAATGTAATGTAATGTAATGTAACGTAACGTAACGTAACGTAATGTAATGTAATGTAATGTAATGTAATGTATGTAATGTATGCATGTAATGTATGTATGTATGTATGTACGTACGTATGTATGTATGGTATGTATGTATGTATGTATGTATGTATGTATGTATGTATGTATGTATGTATGTATGTATGTATGTATGTATGTATGTATTTATGTATGTATGTATGTATGTATGTATGTATGTATGTATGCATGCATGCATGTATGTATGTGATGTATGTATGTATGTATGTATGTATGTATGTATGTATGTATGTATGTATGTATGTATGTATGTATGTATGTATGTATGTATGTATGTATGTATGTATGTATGTATGTATGTATGTATGTATGTATGTATGTATGTATGTATGTATGTATGTATGTATGTATGTATGTGTATGTATGTATGTATGTATGTATGTATGTGTAATGTATGTAATGTAATGTAATGTAATGTAATGTAATGTAATGTAATGTAATGTAATGTAATGTAATGTAATGTAATGTAATGTAATGTATGTAATGTATGTAATGTAATGTATGTAATGTATGTATGTATGTATGTATGTATGTATGTAATGTATGTATGTATGTATGTATGTATGTATGTATGTATGTATGTATGTATGTATGTATGTATGTATGTATGTATGTATGTATGTATGTATGTATGTATGTGTATGTATGTATGTAATGTATGTATGTATGTATGTATGTATGTATGTATGTATGTATGTATGTATGTATGTATGTATGTATGTATGTATGTATGTATGTATGTATGTAATGTATGTATGTATGTATGTATGTATGTATGTATGTAATGTATGTATGTATGTATGTATGTATGTATGTATGTATGTATGTATGTATGCATGCAAATGCATGTAATGTATGTATGTATGTATGTATGTATGTATGTATGTATGTATGTATGTATGTATGTAATGTATGTATGTATGTATGTATGTATGTATGTAATGTAATGTATGTAATGTATGTCATGTCATGTCATGTAATGTAATGTAATGTAATGTAATGTAATGTAATGTAATGTAATGTATGCATGTATGTATCCTTGCACTTCCCCTTTGCTCCCCAGTATTTTCCGCAAAAAGCACGGTTTTCCTGCGTTTTCGCAAAGAGGACGACCAAAAACATTGAGTTTTTCCAGATTTTCGGCAAAAGGATGCAAGAAGCCCAAGCCAGCCAAAAAGCCGGCAGGGGGAATCGAGCCTGGGACCCCTGTTTTGCGACACCGGCTCCCCGAAGACTACGTTTAGTGGAACGTCATCAAATTGCCGCGCGGTACGCGGGGGAGGGGGGGGAAAAAAAAAAGGTTAATAGGGGGCGTGTAAGGTAGGGTATTTTCAGTTCAGGGTTTCAGGGTTCAGGGATGAAACTAAACAAGCAAACCATTTTGTTCAACACACCAAGGGGGATTGTGGGGAATTTTTCTAAATTTTCTCAACATTTTTTTTACAATTTGTTCATTTAATAACAGTCTAAGATATTGACATTTTCAAGGTTCGGGTTTCAGACAATTTTACGGCTTTCTGGGAGATAGAGGGTTCAGGTATTGTCAATATCAAGGTTTATGTTATGTCGTGATTTTAGTGTTATAAGGAACACCAACATTACACACAGGACACGTGTACAACGCACACGGCTCACGTGTACAACGCGCACGGCTGACGTGTACAACGCACACGGCTCACGTGTACAACGCACACGTCTCACGTGTACAACGCGCACGGCTCACGTGTAAAGTGTAGAAAGCAACCCAGACCCACCAGCAACCCGCCCCCAAAAAGGACTTAAAGAGAACATTCCTTATATAGTAAAGAGAAATGGCAGGGGAATACAGCACGGGCTCAGTAATTGAATATTTAATATCCAATAATGAAGGTCAAATAAAAACAGGGAAGAACAACAAACCATTGAAAAAACTAATCATCAACAACAAAGAATACTATTACAACAAAGACAAACCATTATCCTCATCACTTCAAAACAAACTCAATCAAGTCAGCAACACACAAGGTTTCAAACGATTTCACCTTCTAAAAAAAGCATCAAACACAATGAGAGGCATTAAAACAATCCAGAAATACAGATTAAAAATAGGAGCAAAAACATCAGAGACATTTTCGGCATTGAAAGGATATGCCAACACATATGCAATATCCAACATACCATTCAAGGGATACAAAGGATTAACATATCTTTTTATGGCAAGAAAAGAAACTAACAGAGTTTTTACAACAAGCAAAATCAATGAAACTACTGATTGATGTTGAGGTTATTTTTGATAAACTTAGACAGCAAGAAGAGGATGATGGAGAAGATGAACCAACTGAGGAAAATATACAAATAAAACACAATATGAGAAGCAGGAGATACACCATTCTAAATGTAGGAGACTTAAAAAAAGCATTGGAACATATGCCTAAAGATATTGAATTACAAATTGAAAACTCACCTTTGAAACATTCAGGATTGAAGATTAATAAGATTAGCAAAATCGCCATCCACTACGACAAATACAACCCGAACAGAGCAGGAAGATATATGGAACTACCAGAATGGATTTCAAAGAAAAAAGCATGTATCAACATACAGAATGAAGATGAGTTATGTTTTAAATATTGTGTTTTATGTAAATTTTATGAAGTCTTCAAGAAAGACCATCCACAACATATGAGACACTACAAGAAATTAATAACTACTGAAAGTCTAATTAAATGGGATGGTGTGAATTTTCCAGCATCCAACGATGACATAGACCATTTTGAAGAAATCAATAACAAATCTATATCAGTTAATGTTTATGTTGAAGATGAGAACCAAACCATCAGAGCAGACAGAATAACAAAAATTGAAAGACCATCTTGTCATATTAATTTGTTACGAATTGAACAAAACAACAACGAACATTATGTTTTAATAAAAGATTATAATAGATTACTGGGTAGTCAAACCAACAATCACAAAACAAAGATATTTCATTGTATTTACTGTCAGCACGGTTTTCAATCAGAAAAACTTTTAAATTCTCACTTAATAAAAGGTTGTGTGGCAAATGACATTCAACAAACAAAAATGCAAGAAGAAGGAACATCAATGAAGTTTGAAAAGCATTTTAAGAAACTGAAAGCACCATTTGTTATTTACGGTGATTTTGAATGTTTAACAACAGAAACATCAGATGAAATAAAGGGAACATACCAAAATCATAAACCCAGCGGTTATATGCTTAACCTTGTTAATGCTTATAGTGGAGAAATGAAACCATTTTTATATAGAGGTGAAGATTGCATGGATAAATTTTGTGATACATTAAACAATATTAGAGACGATGTAATGAAACAAATGAAAAATCCAAAAGATATGATTATGTCAGATTTAGATGAAATTAAACATTTAGAAGCTAAAAAGTGTTTCTTATGCAATGGCACTTTTGACAACAGAGTAGAAGCGAAAAAGAAAGTTGCTGACCATTGCCACTTTACTGGTTTATACAGAGGAGCGGCACATATGAAATGCAATATAGACTATTGTTTTAAAGAATATCATATACCAGTATTCTTTCACAATCTTAAAAACTATGATGCTCACCTAATAATTTCTAATCTTGAAAAGTTAAATACAAAGAAAGAAAGCATATCAGTAATAGCACAGAACAGTGAGAAGTTTATCACATTTTCATTAAACAGACTTGAATTTAAGGATAGTTTCAGTTTATTGTCGTCATCATTAGATAAACTTGTTAAATTAACAAAATATGAAGATAATAAATTAAGGGACAACTGGCAGGAACATTTTAAATATAGTTTCAAAGGCAAATGCATTAAAAATGAAAAAGATTTATTTTTTACTGACAGAAAAAGGAGTTTATCCTTATGATTATTGTAGTGACTTCAATAAATTTAATGACACTGAACTACCAGAAAAGAAACATTTTTATAGTAGATTAAGTGAAGAAGATATAAGCGATGCTGACTATGAAAGAGCAAAACTAATATGGAAGCACTTTAACATCAAAAACCTTGGTGAATATCATGATTTATATTTGGAAACCGATGTATTATTATTAACCGATGTATATGAAAATTTGAGAAAACAATGTCTAACAGATTATGAATTAGACCCAGCTCATTATTATACATTGCCTAACTTTGCTTGGGACGCGATGTTATTAAAAACAGGAATTGAACTTGAACTTTTACATGATGAAGAAGTTTATAAAATGATAGAGCAAGGACTAAGAGGTGGTATGGTTCAATGTGCCTACAAAAAAACAATTGCTAACAATAAATATATGGGCGAAGATTATGTTAAGTCTAAACCATCTTCATATATTTCATACCTTGATGCTAATAACCTTTATGGATTAGCAATGTGTAAAAAACTACCATATAAGAATATTAAATTTGTGAAAGATAGTTTTACAGAAGAAGACATTAAACATTACAATAGTGATTACAGTAGTAAAGGTTATATTTTAGATGTTGATTTAGAATACCCGAAAGAATGCCACGACAAACATTTTGATTATCCATTAGCACCAGAAATAATGAATATAACAGCAGATATGCTAAGTGATGTTCAAAAACAAATCTATAAAGAATACAATAATGG